TGCCTGCCGGATGGAATCTGTTCCACAGCTCCAAATTTGGCTTTTTTGTGGTTTGGGATATTTGTGGCCCTGTCCGTGTCTATAACTGTCCCAGTGTTGCAGCACGAGCTTGGCCAGGATGAGGGATGAGCCGAGTGCCGCCGTCGGAAGTGCCGATGCATTGGAAAAAGCAAAAGCAAGCAGTAACGAAGAGGACGAAGAACGACACTGCATGCACTCACCGCCCAGGTTCCCTCTTTAATGGTTTATTGAATAAAATCAAAAACATATTTTATGGCAAAATTATTTCCCCCCTGTGTGCATGCTTTATTTCTTTTCGAAATATGCTTTAATATCCACATCTTCACTTTAAATCAGCTGCTGGATGCAGCATCGTCCCCTTGCTCTGTCTCCTGTTCGTCGATTACGAAAAAGCATTTGAAGTGCAGATAATTGAATACTCTGTTACGAGCTCTTGTAGATGGAGGAATTGTTAGGAACTATGTGGAAATTCTTAAGGAAGAGAATATAGGCTGTTCGACAAAAATAGTACTCTTCTCTGCTTCGCTCCACCTTACTGATGGAAAAGGGAGCGAAGCAAGGTGACCCCCCATCGACTGGGCTTTTCACGACTTGCCTCAAGGTGATATCCCATAAATTGGAGTGAAAATGACTTAAAACATGAAGAAATGAAGTGCGCCTAAAATCAACTCAACGAAAATGAAAGTGGCGCAGAATTCCAGTAAAAAAAATTTTTTTCTACAACGACTCCAAGGAAGTTCGTAGCGTCTGCTTTGGCCAGAGAATAAACACGTGCTGCATTTGCGCGAGCCGATAGTCTTTTGATGTAGATTACGCGTTGTTTAGCATCGCAGCATGCCTAATGCCCTTGGAGCATCCTCCCCAACTCTTCAACATCATTTTTTTGAAATTGCTAAAATATGGATGAGAAACGTGACCAGTGATAAAAGCAGTGGTTAGTTTTAATTGTAACTGAACTTTTGAACTGCGGATGCTAGGAGGCGAAATTTTAAGGCATTTTTCAAACTATTTTGTCAGTATTTTGCTGGATTGAAGGCAGGGAGAGGAGTTGGTTGGGTGGATTGAGTGGGTGCGTGGCGTAGATCTAAACTATAACCTTGAGAGTAGTTTTGAGACTATTATTTGGCTGAAGAAATGGGCAGTGAATTTTAAATTTTTAATTTACAAAATAAGACAAGCCAAAAGTCTTGTGTCTAAGCTTCACTGTATTTCGTCCAACTGAGATTTCAGGACGGAATGAGCTATGACCGTGGAACTTTATCTTTAGGTTCAGCGTACATGGAGGCTCGAAATCAGCTTTCAGGCTGCACATTTGCTTAGAGTATCAGTGACTGTACCTGTAAGGAGATTTATTTTCATGTCTCTTTTCCACCTTTCATATTTCTTGTTGCGGTAGGAATTTGGCCCGCACAGCCAAGGCTTCTTTGCATTTAACACTTCTCTCTTCACCAGGGATCAGCAGATAAGTTATTTATTATGTTCACTTCTCAGTAAATAACTTGTAAAGTCAGAGGAAACATCGGAGAAGTATTGTTGTGCATGCATACATAGTGCATGTGTCCCTGGATAGACTTTACTGCAGTGCGCTGGTTTGCCGGAGCATTGCAGAATTTTTATTAAACTGCGATTACGTCTATATCAAAAAGTGAAAATAAGCGACCTGCACGATATCATTGCGACCACGCGAGAAAAAAAATATGATGAACAGGGCATGTTACTTATCCTGTGCGTAGCCGTTGGATATCGTCTTTTGGTGGATGATATCCACGAGGAAATAAATGGTCGCACTGACGACTTCCGAAGAAATGTGCGCCCGCGTATACATTAAAGAGGCAGTAGATGTAAATTAGAAGTGTTGCAGTTCAGGATCGAAGAGCCTGGTATAGCTGTACCTGATGCCCTCGGGCATTCTTGATATTCATGGCTTGTCCCCGGCCGAACAAACTCTTCCCACTTTCGGTGTCCATCCATTGCTTGTAGCATTTGTGTGTTATTAGTAAGTTGCTTAATTGGCGCATTGCCAATCAATTGGGTAAGGTTTCTAGTAAACGTTAGCATTGCACAGAGCTTCTCTATCATTATTGCAATCAGCGCACTATCTAATGTTGTATGGTGCGCTTTCATCCCACGATATACCGATGTTTCCAATGAGTTGGTGGCGTTTAACATCAAAATGGTTTTTCTACAAAGGCAAAAATGTTTGTTGCTTGGAGAATTGTCTGCTGGCCAGTGTTTCTTTTTTTATACAGAAGAATTTAAAGTTTCTACTGGATTCTCCATAAACATAAAAAATCTTGAACTTTGCTGTCTGAAAAAAGGTTGGAGACGTCCCTGGCTGTGTTACAAATATTCAGCTACTCGTTTACTCCGTTCCTCAGTTTCTCCTGGCAGCATACTTTTTGTAGGGGATTCTTCAGCACTACTGCTCGATAGGGCGTAACGCGAATTAATCGGTGTGCGCCATTTTGTTGTTTTCGTGCGGGAATATGCGTCGGAAACAGCTGTGTGTGAATTTTGTGCAACACATACACATACACACACAGACACCGATGAAGGACGGCCGGCCGGAACGTGGCGCTGGCAGCGGCATGTACTTTTGCATTTTACTCTTCCAGGAGCCCTGGGAGTGCAAAGTCGGGTGATGCGGGGTGTTCGGCGGGGGGAGGGGGAGGAGGAGGCGACTCATTTATAATTAATTTCCTCGACCTGCTCCGGGTGAAAAAGCACGTCTGGCTGTGATGTTCCATTTGGAAGATGGGTTCATACGGCGGCGACTTGCTCTCCTGCTGCTCTTGCTGCTGCTCGTTTTTGATCACATCCAGGCAGGCGTTCCCCTCATTCTTCCCTCCCTCCACCCTCTCTCCCCTTTCTTCCTGCACCTTCTTCCCTTTTCCTTTTTCAAAGTACGTTGAAAACGATGACGAACTCATGTTATATCTGTAGGAATAACCTATATTGTCTAATGTACATGCATGTGTGTGTGTGTGATGCATGAATAAATTGGTTATATGTGTTTCGTGCATGAATATAAGTGTGTGTGTGCATGTGGTTTATATGTATGTATGTGTGTGTGTATTTGTGTGTGCATGTGTGTATGTATGCAGATGCACGAACATATGCTTTTACCAAATTGATATTGCTGGTTGCGTCATTTCAGTGAAATTATGTGGCACTTGTTTCGCTGCTGTCCGGCATCAGAGTTCGGATGTTTTTTGTCCTTTTGCTGTTCGCCGTAGGGACGAGGACGCATACCAGTGGTGGGTGTATGCGCTAATCACTGAGATCATCCATTGTCCTTGCACTGAGTCGCTGGCTGTTACTTCTCCCCTCATTGCATCCTCATTTGTATTTTGTTCCGTCTACTTCCCAGTACCTCTCAATAACTCGCAAAACGTAATGGCGGTGAGCTCACGTTTCATTAACATCCTGTCTGAACAGCTTCTCCCAGTACTGTTCTGGGCTTTTCAAGGAGGCACTGTCTGTGAGCAAGCATGAAATTTCGAGGCATCTGTGATAAATTTTTTTGTTCTGAAATGCTTCGGGAACTCGCTCCTATACTCGCTATACGATTCGTCCACTTTTTTTGATGGTAAATTGATACTGGCATATATCGGAGAGTTAAACCCGCCATAAACTTGCTTCTAAGCAATTCTCGAAAGGGGTGGGGCGTTGACAGTCTTGCCAGCCGGTGACTGCTGTTGGCACTTGTTACCACTCGGACTACTTGAGAGCAAATTTGGAGGCGGTTTGTCTTTTGAAATGCATTCGTCTCTTCCTGCTCACTTGTCACTTACATCCTCTCTGTTGCCGCATGTGATCACCAGCTATCATCAAATGCCCGCAACGCCGGACTTGTTGCTCTGAGTGAGATCGGTCAACTGTTCCGCATCTGATCGATGGCGGTTGATTTTGCTCTTGTCTGGTCAAATCCATGAGCAATTGGCCCTCTGCATCGCTCGGCAAACATTCTACATTCGGGGTTACCCCTCGCCGCTTCTGACGCCATGATTGTTTCTGGGTCTTAAATGAATAGACCTCTCCTCTGCTGTCATTCCTGAATACTACTTGCTCTGTTCTCACATCTGGTAGTATTTGTCGATAGGATTGTTTTGTGATTCCTTCCATTTTTCCCTTCAGTTGGTTGGTCCGGTTTGTGTGTAGTGACCATCAGATGATGCAGCATTGGGCAGGGTAAGTAGAAAAGTTGCCAGCTGCACCGGTGGAGAGCCAGACTACGAATACAGTTAATCCCACTGTTCTAAGCTTAAAGGAGACGGCCGTTGTTCTTCGCATCAGCGAACCCCCCATGGGGAGCACTTGTTTTTCCGGAATGGAGGTCGATTTGGGAGCAGACTGGATTTATTGTTTAGCAGCATGAAGGGCATCCTAAAGTGCACTCACTAAAACGTTGCACTTCGTTTGTGCATCCAAAGACGGTCTGGATGCATTCAGTCTCCTGAACACTAATTGGAAAACAGCGAATGCAAGCGCTCATCTGACAAGCGAAACAGCATTATGGCTCTCTCTTAAGAGCTCTTTGCTCGACGCGAGCTTTGTCTCGGGTTGCACTTTCTACGGGTTTTGTTGCAAAGCATTTGCTGCATTTTCTTAGTTGGAAAGCATTTTTTTACACTTATGAGTCAGATTTTGACCATAGTTGTAATTCGTATTCTCTTCCTTCAGCTGGCAAATTTTCCAGCTGTTTCGCTTCGCCTCGTGGCCGCTCCGTGATTTAACATATATGAGAATGGGCAGAAACTTGACGAAGTTACGACTGAATGAGCATTCAGAAAAATACTCATTTAAGAATACGCTTAATTTGCTAACTGAATGTTCTGTCGCATTTTATGCTACATTTTACATGTTGTTGATGCTTTCGTTGTCTTTTCTTTGCCAGTTGTATCGAATTGAGTTTAAAAGTCAGGGTCAAACTTCTGTGAGAGGCGGACGCACTCGAAAGTAGCCCGGTTGGTAGCACATACCAGCTATATTTATTCGCTGACAAGATTGTCGATGGCTCTCTCTTTCAAAGGTTGCTTTAGGAGCAAGTTTGATCCCCGCCACGTGGCAGTATTCTATTGGTAGAGACCAGTTCTCGGGATTTAGCATGCAAACAGGTCAACTTATCATCCCACCATTCCTGCCAGCGACTTGGGAAGTGAACGTTAAAAATTATAGTGCAGTTTGAACTTTTGTTTTTTTTTCTTTTTTTTTATCTTTTATTACTGAACCAGTTCCGTTGTATGGAAGTGAAACATGATTACTTCACTGGCTGTTGCTTTGAAAAATCGTTTGGGGTGTCCTTTTCTAAGAAAATTGTACTTTGAAAACAGCACTTGCTGAGAAAAATGAGTAAAAGCCCTGGGATAGTCCATGGTAGGTGTTGTGGTGGCGCTCGAGATGGCTTTGTGTTTGCATACAAAGCAGCTGTCATCAGCATGGTCGGCTGCGAAAAGGATCTCTTTAGAATTTTTTATGGAAGTGAGGGGTGCGAGAGGAGTGCGGAAGAGCTGGCTGCCGCGTTTTTGTTTGCCGGCCACTACCAGTGTTAAGTTTCGCGAGCCAGTTGCTGTTATTGGCCACAGCTGCGATACTTCCAGTTGATTGTATTTGAATTTTCATTTTGTCTAGTGCCGAAGGGCTAAGGATTTCTTAGCTTATACCACAGGCTGCGAACGAGCCTCGTTCTGTTTCAGTGGGGAAGAGGGTTGATAGGCTGTGTGTGGAAGAGGGAGTGAGTGAGTGACGAAATCCTTAAATGTTTGTCCTCGGTGCCTGTTTTGCTGAAAAGCGATTGATTTCAGTGATTCGCCGTCATATCATACGGGCAGCAGCGAGCCGCCGAATGACCTCATTTCTCCGCCGATGGGCGGCAGTGTGGACTTGAACGACAGGCGACTTCGACGCCAGATTGCCAACTGCAATGAGCGGCGTCGCATGCAGAGCATCAACGCCGGCTTCCAGTCGCTCAAGTTGCTGCTTCCACGAAGAGATGGTGAAAAGCTGAGCAAAGTGAGTCTCTTCACTCCTCTTGCTTGCTTGTCCGCTGACTTGCTCCTGTCTCGTTCATGTGAGGTGTTGTGGTGCTGGTGCAAGTGAACCCAAAGCATCGTTGTTTGTATGCCTTTTCAGTATTTTTCTTGTCATCTTAAACAGATTGCATTCAGTAGTAAGCAAAAAATTAACAGCCTAATAATTCTCCTGGCGAAACTACTTGGTAAGACTTTAGCTGTTTCGAGGTGTTCCTGCTCTCTGTTGAGGTCGCCTGGTTCTCGTAAGTTACTACTCCTGGAACACAGTGGGATGCTTCATCGACTGGAAGTTTACAGTCATAAAATCAAATTTTGGCACCTTTTTTAATGTTGTTCGACCATCTGGTCGAATAGATGAGGCCAATGCTGCATAATCTTGTGCGAGACGTCGGACCGGACATTCGACTTCTTACTAAACTACTCTATTCATTGCAAAGTAGCTTTCAGGCGGCTATTCTGCAGCATACCGTTGAGCTCATACAGACTTTGCGAGCGGAAAAAATGAAGCTGCTTGAGGAGAAAGAAGCTGTTATAAACGCGAAGAAACGAAAGATTCAAGGTGTGCCTGGTCTTTGATTCAGAATTTATGTGTAGAATTCCATCTCTGTCTCAAGTCTTGGTATTCTTGGTAATATTCGGTATGATATCGAGCAAATGCAAATTTATGGGTTTGAAATGTTTTATAAATGAATTCCCTTGGATAAGCGGAGATCGGAGTTCCATACTTCACATGTCAAAAAATAATACTTGGCGTACTATTTCGATACTGTGGGAAGTCTGACAGATCCAGATGATGATTTGCAGTACCTGGAACATCTGCCATTTCATAGTCCAGTTCTTCAGCTGTGCAGTTGTCAGTTCTTTCGTTTGCTCTAACCAGTGCTGAATTGCCTTCCGGCGATCCCGATGTTTCTGACCAATAACAAAAATGGATGAGCATAAATACCTCTTTTCACGATAGTGAAGTAATACATTCTGCCGGTTCTTTTGCACTATATAGTAATAATGTGTTTTGCTTCATGAGTGGTATCTGGCTTTTGCCAGTGCAGGAGTTGGCTGGAATTTTTTTTTTTTGCTCAAAACATATTTCCCATGAACTTTTGAAGCTGCAGATGAGGATGTACGCGAACGTGATGTGATTGATGAGCTGACGGCGGCACTGGAGCAGGAGCGTCAGCTGCGACATCTCTACGAACGCATGTTCACATTTTGGGCCAGTTTTCCGGTGCTTTCACAACTACTCGCAAAGGCGAACACGTTGCTCCTCGGTCCATCTATTGCACACCCGAATGTTGGTACATCTTCAACTGGCCAGACACGTGGCGCTGCTGCTGCCGCTGCATTTACAGGTTTTTTTTTTGAAAATTTTCAGAAATGGTAGTATATGGGAATGGCAAAATGCGCTTTGAATGGAAATGAAACTCAAACGCCCTACTTTATTTACTCTTTACAAAATGCAGAAACAGTCAGAAATAGCTCAAGTGATATTTTGGTGCAACCGCAGTCTGGCAAGATTGTCGATGACTCGCTTTGGATGAATAAGTGAACTTGAGATAGGCAGGTATAGAAATTAAGCGCGTTTGAAAAGGAATGTACTCCTAATTGGAGAATCAAAAAAAGCTCTGTCCGACCTGAAACGCTTGCTTTCAGCCGCGTTTCCAGTATCCAGAGAAACAGTCAGAGTTTGGCGTCCAGCCATTCAACTTTTGATTTCCCATGCATTTTGACACCTGCTAACTAGTTTTTAAGACCATAATCAGATAGTTTTAGCATCGCCAACAGATGAATTCGGTGTTCCTCTACTCAGTTAATTACACTTTTCAAACCACTAGAACTTGAGGTCCCTATTCCAGTTAATATCCCTCGGTTTTTTCTCTTCCTTTAGCTGTTTCAGTGTTGTTCTGCATGCTC